CTAACTAACATTAATATTCTATTTAACCAAAATTTTTTTAGATGCTTGTATTAGTTCATTTTCAAAAGTTAACTTTCAAATTATTAAAGTTGAGATTCTAATTTTAAACTAATTATCCCTTCAAAATGTTACCTTATTCTCTCTTTAAATTTATCAGTTTTATTATTATTACTCCATTCACTCTTTGATACTTAGTTAGTGTTATTGTTATTAAATATTCCAAGATCCATTTATTGAAGTTGGAATAACTATTTTTATTTTTTCAGTTTTAAACAGTATTGAAATATTTGAGAAAGAAAAATAAATTTAAGACAAATATGATTTGATTAGAGCTCATTAATTGACAGAATCTTCTATATATAGAGCTTGAATATTATTCCAATAATTTAATTCTAATAATAAAATATTAAATGTCCATTCATGTATTAATCAAAGTTATTTAGAACTCCTAATATTGAATGCTTATTATTACATCTTAATTCCCATTCCAATTTAGATGATCTATTTTCTTGTGATTTTTTTCAAAGAAAGGTTTGGACAGTAAATGATAAATATACACCCATGAAATATATTAAAATGCTAACAAACCTTATTTTTTCATAATATTTAAATAATTTTGAAAATTTTGAAAAAGTAACTACTACATTAAATTGTCTTCAAAAAATTCATCAATCTCTTGAACAAAAAGCAACTTATATTTTGACACATGCTCCAAAAAAATAATGTTCATCGTCCTATTAAAGATCAGATTTGGACAAGGCAGTTACGTAAAAAATTCTAAAGTTTAAGTGGCAATCTAAAGTTTAAGTGGCAATAATTTCAAATTAAATGATGCTACCCTTCCTGTTATTTCAATAATTAATTTTACCTAAACATCTCATTTTATTTGCTAAGATTATGAACAGTTTTAGCATCGAATTTTCATAATTTCCTGAATAATTTTAAAACTCAATTAATCAATTTAATATTGAGCAATAGAGAATAAATGGTTTGGGTCCTTTCAAATTGACTGTTTAATAATCCTTAAACACATAAGAGATTTTCCATATAGCAATTAAATTCAATTCAATAATGAATTATTATATATCCTGTTTAAAGCTGTTTGTTAAAGACTATTAAGGAATTTGACAATTCAGATAAAATTTATTTTATTTTTCATAAACTTAGAAAAAAAAAGAAATGAATGTGATTCTAATCCTAAATTTTTGCATCTAGTTTTAAGTATCAATAGTATCTTTGGATCTATGCCATTCTTTTGTTTCTTAGAAAACAGTAAAATAGTATTAGTTTCAAAATCAATATTATTAATAATGTGCTTTTTGGTTATCAGAAAATATTAGAGGACAGCTTTCCTATATTTTAACTAAATGAAAATGAGAATCGAAAAGCACTTAGGATATAAGATTAGTAAGATGAATTCAGTTAGCGAATTAATAAATCAATGCTAAAATATACCATAAGAAATAAAGGTACTGAAATTAATAGTTGTAAATATCAGGAATGAGATTTAGATTAATATTAAATAAGGTTGGAGCATAATAGATAAAGAATGCTAAAGAATACTTCGGAATTATAAACTTAACAGCAAAGGTAGGAAGATAATTGGCTTGTTAAATTGCCATTGTTATAGCAGTAGATGGATAGCTAGAGACATATTATACAAAGATTACTTCAGAAGGCATGAAATAACTAGCCATAATACAAGGAGAAATAAGAAATGAAATGAGATTCACAAGACCTTGATAGAATAGATTATTGAAAATAAATTATTTGGAATTACAGAACTTATCATCAATGAATAGCAATATTTGATAGAGTGACAAATACATAACAACGAGAAGATTACGAGATAGAACAAAAGCATTGATAAATCAGTATCTTATGATTGGGTATATTTAATAGACATTGTGAAAAGAAGTATGATAATCATAACATGATGCATTAACCCACAAACAAGTCCATAATTAGATTTAATACAGCATTATTTATTTGAAAATTATTCAGTATATGAAGCTCCAGCAAATCTCCAGATTCATTTATTTTACATTCTGGTAAGAAAGTATTACATACTTCATCAGTTAAACCATTGTTATCACTACAAATTCTATTTCTGCATTTATTAGTTGCAACATCTCAACCATATCTATCTATTCCATTTTTAGTTATTGAAGTATCATTACAGATTTTGATTAAGTTTTATATGATACGCATGCTTAAATAGTCAAGTATTAACAAAATTTTTAAATTAAGCATGAGTTCTAGATGATATTCAGATACTTATGTTCTATAAGTTGAGAACTTGTAAATTATGAATAATTAGTATTAAATACATTAATAATAATTTGTAAATTAGCCCATATACAACCTTCTCTTGGATATGTTACTTCTGTTCCATTAAAGTTATTACAACTTTTACTGTAATCAATACATGAAGTTTAATCAAAACTATAAAAAGGTTCATCTAATGTTTTAAATGGTGGCATATCGTAATTGCATTTTTTATTATTTTTATTTGATATATTAAGAAACTTCTTTTAGCTGTGACCAATAAAGTTAAAGTATTTTGCACTACTGCATAATCTCCATTAAATATATTATATGATGAAGATGCATCAAAATATTCAATACCCTTATTCCTTTCATATGAGGAGTATTCAGAGTTTGAAATTGCTAAACATTATCTGCTCATGCTCTTACTTTAAATTTGCTTGTAGTAGTATTTCCATCTCCAATATTATATTAATAAGTAGGATTTTATTTTTTTTACCATCCTTTTCTGTATATTTTTTAAATAATTAATATTCTTATTTAGTTCCTCTCTAAGATGTACATCGTTCTGTATTTGGAATACATCCTTATACAACGACTTATACACCTGCACACCTACTTTTAAATAATTATCACACCGAGAATAATTTGTTATTGAAACATTTACATATCATGTTCTAATTGTAGAAGTTCTTAAAGGTCTACATCATTTTTTCTCTTTTGTTCTAATAAAGAATTTAAAAAATGTGTTGAAACTTTATTTAAATTTCATTTTCTAGGAAATGAAACTCATTTTGTTCCATTTGTTTTACTTATAATTCCCACAAGTGTCTTTTTATATGCAAATCAAAATAATAAAGAGAGCCTGATTGCAGTACTGAGTCCATTATCATTACAAACTTATTTTTTGATTTTACTGCTTTATATTATTCCTTCTCTTAACCCTTTGCTGGTCTTTTCTTTCACATGAATTCAAAGTAAAACAATTTTTATCAGAAATATTGATACATTTATTTTCAAAAACATCTTTCAATTTTTCACTAATAACTGCTTAATTTTCTATCGCGCTATGAAGATTACAAGAAGCTTAAAATAAAATGCATTTTTCTCCTGATATATATTTATATACAAAAGAGTTTAACATTTAAAGACACAATAAACCTGCTCATTTCCACTTTTTAGTTGTGATATCTCCACAATGTTGACTCCAATTGTAATACATGAATTTTCTTATTCTTATAAATCACAATCTAATTTGAGAAATTGTGTTCTTTATATCCGAGCAGCTTAGGTCTCTACAACCAACTATGAAAGTAGGAATCACAGTAATGCATCAATGTATTGAGCTTGAGAAGCTGGATTATATTAATCGAATGTTCAATATACTGCTTTGTCAGATTTGTGAAAATAATTAACAATATATTAAAGAAAGCATAAATAAAGAATTATAATAAAAAGGGAATGATTTTGATTTTATAAATGAATATAGTGATTTATGGAGATATTCTAATAAAATTTATTATTGTCTATCGATGTATGATTTTGATATTATTGTATCAAAGAGAAAGAATTCTTTGTATTATAATAAAGAATTATAGACCAAAATATAAATAGAAGAAATCTTATATATGGGAGATGCACTTTCAAAAATATAGGTTCATAATCACATTATAAACATGAAAAATGGCATTTTAAATTTTTGAGAACAGATTTACACCAGCATAATTTTATAGTAACATCTTAATCATAAATATACATTAATTAGATTAAATATCATAACAAGATGTACAATATTATCTAATAAAAGATATGCTAAAAAGAATTGATCACAGATAAACTAGAAGCCTTAAATTTTCTCATTAAAATTGAATTCTTTTTTTCTTTATACTTTTGTATTAAGTTTACATATTAGCATAAAGATAAATTTCAGAATAAAATAGAACAGATAAAATATTTTTTAGAAATAATCTGAAATCTTTTGATAGAGTGCCCTATCTCGTATAACTTAATTATAAAATAATATAAGCAGAGTGACTAATAAAGATTTTATGAAGGGCATGCAAAAAAAAATAGAAGAATTGAGCTAAAAAAGAACTTCAGCAAGATTCTAATTATTCGGATCCTGAAAGAGAATCCCATCTAAAATATGCTGATAGAAAATGCTAACAAGTAGTTCTATTACTTAATTTACATCTTCCTCCATCTTAGTAACAGAAATAGAATTACCAGCAATAGAAGTTTAATTATATCGTATCCTACAGATTAATACTGAATCACAGTTTAATTATTAATTAACATAAATATATGAATCTTCAATACTAACTGAATAAACAAACTTTATAATTTGAAAATAATAGGATAATGCTTCATAGTGTGTGTAAGCAGGAAGACACACCAAGAGCTCGAGAAAAAACAGAGCTTTGATAAGTCAGTCTCATTTAAGTACTACATATCAATAACTTTAGAAGTAGATAGAAGAAGGTCAAAATATATAGAGATTAAAATGATCAATTC